CATAAATCCTTGTATAGGCTTATTATTGCTATTTTACTTAAATTAAGAAATAAAAAATTATCTCATTTTTATGTGAAATATGGTAAATGTCAACAGATTTAATCCACACAAACAAAAGATCTTTATGGTTCTCAATAATTATTAAGAGTGTAAATGGGCCCTGATCAAACAGCTTTACACTTTATCCTAACGACCTCATTCAAACACATAGCTTTAAATATTAAATAAAATTCAGTGATTTCCAAGTCTTTATGTCGTCTTGATCTCCTTTATGATTTTCACACCCATTTGTGCAATGATTTCTTAGACATTTCCAGGCTTTACAAAGCAATTGAAAGCTAAACATGTTGAAAATGACCCTAATCATTATAACCTTCCCTATCAATTCTGTTCTGCTTTTGAATTTTCTTTCTCTGTGAAGGAGACCACCTTCCCAATGCCTCTTTCCCTCAATTCTCACATGTAATCAATCATCAGAATCTGTCAGTTCTATCTTTTCAATACCCCTAACTTTACTGTGGGAGCTCTGGTAGCATAGTGGCTAAGACACTTGCCTGCTAACCAGACGGCTGGCAGTTCAAACCCACCAGCCACTTCTCAGAAGGAAGGTTGGGCAATCCTACTTCCGTAGTGATACTGCCTCGGAAACCCAAGGAGGGGTCGCTATGAGTCGGGTTTGACTCGACGGCACATAACAACAACAACAACAACTTTACTGTAGGCCACCACCACCCCCTGTCAGAACTAGGACAATATCCTCATAATGTTTCATAAGGCCTGTCCCTTTCCAATCCATTCTCTATGCTTCTGTCAAAATAGTCTTTTGAAGAATCCTACCTGAGCACCATCACTTTTCAGTTTATACACATTTTTACGCTTTTTGTAGCCTTCAGGGTTGGTCCTTACCAAAGAACAAGGGAATACTCACAACTTGTCTCCTACTATCTCTGCCTCTTCTCTCACCATTCCTCCATGCATATAAGAGAACTAACTTTTAGTACTTTTCTATTGACTCCATTGTCTTTTGGGAGCTCTGGTAGCATAGTGCCTAAGGCACTTGACTGCTAACCAGAAGGCTGGCAGTTCAAACCCACCAGCAACTCCTCAGAAGGAAGGCTGGGCAATCCTACTTCCGTAGTGATACTGCCTCGGAAACGCAAGGAGTTGGGGCCGACTCGACAGCATATAACAACAACCACAAACCATTGTCTTTTAAGTAACAACTTCCTACAGATACATATTTTCAGGCTGTGCTCTAGTGTCTACTTCCCAATTAAGTGGCGTTCAAACAGGACCAGTTTTCTTGATCCTAATTATAAGGTTTGTGTGCTAAATTATGCTGATATATATTTCACCCTGGCTGTTTATATAACATTATTTCTTTTCTTTCCCTTCAAATTATATTTGTTCACTGGGTAGAAAAGATAAATTATAGTAAATTCTTGAAAAATTTTACATAATTTAAAGATATAAAGAATAAAATTATTAGCATAGATATAATTTCAGATGACCTGTTAAATAGGAATTACTGCAGAACAATTGATACTGATTAATAATGAATTATTATAATTAAAATGCATGATACTAATTAATAATTAACTCTGGTTGCAGAGTACCTGGGTTCATATCTTGGTTCTACCTCTTACTGTCTTTGTGACTTTGGGCAACCTACTTAATTTCTTTGAGCTTCAGTTTATTCATCTTAAAATGAGATAATAACACTTTTTAAATAGGGATTTAATGAGGATTAAATGGGTTCATAAAGGTAAAGCCCCTAGAATAGTTCCTAGCATATAGTAAGTACTACTTAAATATTAGTTCTTATCTTGTTATCATCATCATCTCAATTGACAGAGGCATGGATATGTGCAAAGATCTTTAGTCAGACTTCTTGGATTCGGATATTGGTGCTATTATTGCTGTTGTTAGGTGCTGTCGAGTTGACTTAGACTCATAGTGACCCCATGTGACAGAATAGAACTCTATGGGAGAAGAACACCAGGTCTTTATTCCATAGAACTGCTTGGTAGATTCAAACTACCAACCTTTCAGTTAGCAGCTAAATGCTTAATCATTGTGCCACCAAAATCCAAAAAAATCAAATTCATTGCCATTGAGTCAATTTCTGTTTGTATGTTTTTCTTTTACCAGCATTTTGCACTTAGGCTCACAATTGATAAAGGTTGTCCTCCCAATTTTACTCAACTTACTCAATCAAAAAATCAAACTCACTGCCATCGGAGTCAATTCTTACAGCATTCTCCATTGGATTTTCAAAGCTATATATCTTTATAGAAGCAAACTGCCCCAACTTGTAATGTTGTTGTTGTTACGTGCTGACGAGTCAGACCTGACTCATAGCAACCCCTCCTTGGGTTTTCGAGGAGGTATCACTACGGAAATAGATTGCCCAACCTTCCTTCTGAGGAGAGTGGCTGGTGGGTTTGAACTGCCATCCTTCTGGTTAGCAGTCAAGTGCCTTAGGCACTACATTACCAACTTGTAATAGTTATGTCAATATACATGCTTTAAAATTTTCAACCTTCCAAAGACTATTAATTGTATCACACCCTTAAAATACATGTGTCAATAAAATGAAATTAAGAGCCATAAAACTTATCTCCCATAACAATTTTTCTCTTTTCATCTCACCCTCTTCTCCCCTCACTTCTCCACAATATAATTTGGTAAAATAAAGATAAGGAAAGACTACTTCAAGAATATACTACCTTGCGTTGGTTATCAAAAATCCTGAGTGCTCAGTATCAGGTGATAAGAAACACAGACACCATCATGAAAAAAAATTGACACAACTAATTATATTGCGGATTTTCAACCAGGAACATGGCAATCATTCACTTCAGAATCACTTCAAAATTAAGTATAGCTATTTTGCACTTTATATATATTGTAAATACTTTCATACCTTTGTTTATATCAATGAGTTGTTTCTTTTTCTTCTGGCGTTCCAACTTCTCTTGCTCAGCCTTCTCTTTGGCAAGCTTGGCCCTCCTAGTCTTCTCTTCCATTTCCCTTCTCTTATTGTTTTCTTTCACTGCTTCCTATACATATAAACAAAATCAAACACAAAATCTTTTCATTACTTAAATATTGGAAGAGTTGCACAATTTAAAAATTATATAAATACACAGAGATGGGAAGGTACTATAGCAGCTTCAAGGTGTACACATATAATTTTGAGAGACACAAATAATTAATCTTAAGACATCTCTTCTTGTAAAACAGAAAAATAACTTAGGATTCACTTGCCATTACCAGGGGTCCCAGAAAATTTGGGACAACAATATTACAGATTTAACATAAAGATACTTTCTCCATTGTCGAAATATGGAATAGTTTTGATGAATAAGAAAAGGCTTAATATGGACACATGACTCATCAAGTATGTTACCATTTAATTGTACATTTCCCCCTCATCTGCAAAAACAAAACAAAAAAACTAAACCATCATTGAGTCAATTCTGACTCATAGTGACCCCCACTGGGTTTTCAAGTTTTCAAGGCAGTAAATCTTTACTTTAGCAGATTGTGTCATCTTCCTTCTGTGGAGCAGCTGGGGAGTTTGAACCACCAAACTTCTGGTTAGCAGTCAAATTCCTTACTGTAAAATAGGGCTTAAAAATCATCTCATAGGATTATTGTGAGAAAGATGAGATACACACTTGAATTATTTAGAACAGAGCCTGAGGAATTATAAACCCACTGCCATTGATACAATTCTGACTCATAGCAACCCCATAGGTTTCCCAAGGCTGTAAATCTATTCGGAAGTAGATTACCTCATCTTCCTCCCAACAAGCAGCTGGTGGGTTTGAATCATTGACCTTTTGGTTGCAGCCAAATGCCTTACTCACCACGCCACTAGGAATTATAGTCAAGAAATTTTAGCTATAGTCTATGCGGATGACAGTGGTGGTGGTAATGATTACATCTCAATGATTCTGGACATGAAACATGGGCAATGCTACCATGAAGAAGAAATACCAATGAGTTTAAAAGCGTTTTACATGCCACACAACCCTGAAACATATTTCAAGCACCTGTCCGTTTTGTTTTGGATAGATTATTTATAGGACTCAAGCAAAT